ATAATTGCAAATTTGTACGAGGTCACACTTTGAGTATGTCCTGTCGTTCACAAACTCAACAAGTTTACTATGAAAATGATCACAAAAATACAAGTAAAATAGAAACCTCGAGTACACAACTCTCAAAATTTTGGCTTACCACTAAAAGAAATCCTGTCTACTACCTTTCGACATGCCTAAACCCAAAATATGTGTTTTCCATAAACTGCACCCCAAGAGAAACAAAAAAGTGCCTTTAAATAGGCTGAAGCAACATGCTACCTAGGAGTTATCTTTTTGCTCATTTCAACTCTCTACAGTTTGCTTTTATGTGACCCTTCTTGTGGCAGTAGTAGCACTCAATATCTTGCTTACCTTTTCCTCTACCTTTGTTGCCTTTGCCTTTACAAGGCTTATTGTCAATATTTTTCCCTCTCCCTTTGGCTTTGAAGCTTGAAATCGGAGTAAAAGTCACACCAAAATCCCTTCTACGAATCTCTTCTGCAAAAGCTGCATCTATAATATCTACAATTTTCAACTTTCCAGTACCAAAAGAGTAGGTTGTAGTTACTTTCATTACTTCCCAACTATCGGGTAAAGATATCAACAAAATGATAGCTTTCGGTTCTTCGTCGAATTCAACCTTCAGAGAGATTAACTTGTTGATTATCCTATTGAATTCATTCAAATGTTCAACAAAAGGCACACCATCGGCCATTTTTAAATCAAAGAGTTTTGTCAAAAGACAAAACTTGTTCGCATAGGGCTTCTCATATATGTCTGACAAGGTTTTCATCAGACCAACCGTCGTTGTCTCATTTACCACATGGTGAACGACGTTCTTTGACAAAGTCGAGCGAATAATTCCTAGTACTTTTCTGTCAAGATGCTTCCAATCTTCTTCTTTCATATCTTCTGGTTTTCCTTTCAATGGTAGATGAAATTTCTTGTCCATGACATATATAAAATCCTTTATCTGCATCTTCCAGTAATCAAAGTCTGTCCCATCAAATTTGTCAATAGTAAATCCATCAAAGCTAGCCATTGCTCTTCAAAGGTTCCTCGAGTTTAATGATGTGTTACCAGTTGTTGGAAATTTAGAGGGTTGCAGATCCAAAATTCCCTTTGGAAAGAGCCATAAAAAGATGAATAGGAAAGAAACAGAGAGAAAAAAAGGAAGACAACAACATCAAATTTATATACATTCACCATTAGAATGAAAACTGTCTTATTTTCAACAGACTCTCTAAGTTCTACTATGAAGAGATAGATAACATAAAAAATAATAACAGAGAATTATGCATTTCCCATTGTCCACATATAAAAACACCATGAAAGTGGCTTTACATAGGCTTGAGCAGATCCATATACACTTAATGGGGCTACAAGCACGCAGAACCAGAAACCAAACACGAAAAGAATTGGACTA